CCCCCCCCCCCCCCGGGGTCAAATCACAGAACAAACAATCATAAATTATTCGAACCATTTAGAGATCAACTGGTGATAATTGGCATGATACTTAATGCCTTATTTTCAGTTTACTTGATCTTACCGCCTACTTGTTTAATAATTCATGAATTTGGATAGTCAACGGAAAAAAAAGTTGTCACCGAGTTATTAGAATACTTGAGTGCTAATTAGGAGGCCTGAATGGTCGATCAAAAAGGAGTACAATTTGATAATAAATACTGCAGGCCTGTTATAGCAGAAAAAATTATTGAGCGCGACATCATCCAGTGTTTTCAATAGGCGAAGTCCCGATATATTTAATACAGCCCTTTAAGACGACAACTAAGCTTATTTACTTGCAAACGTAGGCAGTTTAAATTTGTACCAGACTGAGAATAACATTGTAAAGAGAAACTTAGAGAGAGTCCCTAGTCTTATAGCTTTTAGAAAGAACAGCTGGAGGACTACAGGTCACGGCGAAACGAACTGAACTACCAGTTTTGATGTAATTAGAACATTCCCTAAGGGACAGAAAATCTTTTTAACACATCTGATGTTATCGGGCGAGCAATGGAACAAAATCTAAGCTCATGTTCTAAACACGAGGACAGATAGAGCGAACGGAATTCGAACGGTTCGAGGATTAGCACGAAACAGTAGAAACTCTTGCTAATGACAAAGCTAAGTATTATGTATACTGAAACCTCTTACAATAAACTGATTCTGGTAAACATTTGTGAATGATTCCCACACGCTGGCAAATGTGCATGTGGCTTTCCCTGCACGCTCACGCTCAATTAAAAGAACTATCTTCCTTACCTTTGGAGCAAATTTCACGTCTTCGGTTTCTGAGCCTTAAGACGGAACGATTTGAGATATGCTACGCTTAAGCCGGTAAAAAAATTAGCCTTCTAACCCAGGCATTGAGCTATAAAAATCGACACTAACTAGAGTCATGCGACTTCGAGTCGTCAAATACCACGCAGTTTTTTTTCTGAACCGCACTTGTAGATAACGCATGTGTTCAAATTGAGTAAACAGCTACTGAATAAAACAATAGAGTGTTACCAGTAAGGGTTTAACTCAACAAGTTTACACACTTACTCGAATTTCGACAGGATGTTCACTTTCATCCAGAAGAAGGACATGACAAAACCACACGGTGTTGCTTCCAAAACACGACATCTTCAGGCCACTTAACCTTCAACTCATCGCCGGGTGGCAAACTTACACCGACGTCCTACCTTCGTTGCATCTTCGTCCTGTACACAATTTACGAATTTCGAGTTGAAGGTAGGAAGTTCTTTGTGACTAAATAAAGCAGCTTTCGAGGTGAAGCTCTTGATCGCTCGAGACTCAAACTCTCAAAATAATACCGACACCTCCTTATATGGAAGATAGGATTAACGCAACTTCCGTTACCAATACAAAGGCTAGGAATTTTACAAAAGATAAAAAGTCAGTCTGTATACTTTAAAGTTCATTTGCTACTTTCTGGTGTCGAATGGTGACCTAAATTCTGAACTATAAAGTGCTTCTGTAACGGGTTAAGAATGGGGTCGTTACTCAGCTATCATCATGACATGATCGATAAGAGTGCAAAAACCGGAAGTGCATCTCGGATGTTCGGACGCCAAACATTTAAATATCCTGTACTTGAAATCGATCGCAAAACACGGCAATAGGATGTGTTTGTGTCAAGAAACAACATACTGCAAATTCAATAGGCTTTTAAGGACAACCTAATGTAAAGTTTTACCTGGAGTGTATATTTACGTAACTTCATTTGCGCTTTTGTTCTTGTTTTTCCGCGTGGGTGCACTGTTTACGTGCGGTGAACAAAGAACAGTGCATGGCTAAATTGTGTTACACCGCGGATATGACCCGTTTCCCAGTTCAATTGTGCGGCCAGCCCATGTCGCACACACACACGAATGATCAGTTAGTTACCACGATCTTAACAATGAAGAGTATTCAATTAATAGTAGAGACGATACTCGATAGTCTCAGAGCTTCTCAGCGTTTGGTCAGTTGGTCGCCAGACTTCTTCCAAGTCCCGGGTTCCAAGTGTAGTCCATCTCCCCTCCATCTCTCAATCATTCTCTCACGTATATGACTGTATTCTGAGAGGAAAAAGCCTCAAGTTATGCTCAGGCTCACACGTCGAAACACTGAACGTGAACGACTCCTGGCCAGTTTAGATTGTTTAGACCACAACTCAGTTTGTCAAGCACTCTCTAACTTGCTTTAACTATACACATCTTTTTTAGATACGAGAACGTATATTTTTAATACCGCCCAGGCTGGATATTCTTATTTTTCTGCCGATTTCAGTTAAATAAAACGGATGTGGTGTCTGTATCCTGTTACATTGCGCACGTGCTTATCAATCGTTTCGTGAGCTAATCATGTTAGATAAAGGAAGGAATTTACCATACTTATCAATAGTGAAAGAAAGTTCTTTAAAAAACAATTTGTTATTTTATTACATTTTATTTTCCATCAGCATGCAAAAAATGTTCTTAACAAAATCTCAGCGTTGGGTATATCCTTACACAAGATTAAGAGGCGATCTCTTGCCTTACATGAAACATATTCTTTCAGATTTCGCCAATTTCAGTCTTAGTATATCTATAACAAAGATTCTTATAAAAAAAAAAATGAAGTAATCAGCCCTTAGGTATTTTAGGTATGGCTACTCAGGAGCCGTGATTGCTTGTAACTGATGTGTCACAGAAAATCACTTCACAAAAGCTTTGCCTTTCGAGGAATCTTGGACTGGCTAACTGTCCCTCCTAACTTGCAAGTCAGATGATATAGTATTGAGGGGCACCGTTTAGTGAGAGTTGGCGCGTCTTTGAGTCAATCCAGGATATCACAAAAGCGCTGTAAAATGTCGGTTGACAGTGTAATGATCCACGTGTACGCGTCTTTTCTCAACCAAGACTGTCGCAAACATTGGTTTGATACAAAAAAAAGATTAATTAGCTACTTTGCATCTTCAACAGACATATCTAGTCTGTGTGATAGAAAGGCTTGTACTGCTTTGAATCATGTAATCTCTATGTCAAAACTTTGCTTGTCGACACTCTTTTCAATACTGAAGACATCTTGGCTGACTGGCTGAGAAAGTTTTAAAGAACATGCTAAGAGCAATCGCGGGAGAGCTGAAACTATGATTTTACTTCGCTAAGATCTTGAGCACAGTAGTTCATTTTCTCCTTTCGTTTCTTGTTTTCGTACCAGGGTCAAAATCCTGTACTTCTCCACTCATTTGCAACCATCAATATGTAATATTTGAAATCTCTTATATCTCAAATTCTACTCGGTTCAACATAGGTAAAAATTCTTGAAGGTACACTTGCCATAGTAACAATATGAATTTTAATCGCGGGCAAGCCATAGGTAGTTTGGCAAGCCATAGGTAGCCATAGGTATTAAGGATACTCTAGTATAGGGTAGCAAAATTCAGCTGAACTAGCTCTGGTTTAGGCTAAGGGTTACAGGGTCCCAGACGGCACATCCCTACCCAGAAATTCCCAAAGTACCCGCGGACATTTATATAAAGTAAGGCATCCTGCATATTAAACAATTCCTACAGTCTTTGCCCAGACAAAGATTTTGTATACGTCTATGCGTGACGCATGCGTTTGGTGTCCGTTTTAAAAAGGAACGACTGCTTACGTGTTCACGTACAAGTTTCAGTCCAAGCAGTTTTTTTTATGGTCCCTTACGAAGCTTTTGAGACCTTGAGAGATCTAAAACCTAAAAGGAATGAGTGCATTGACTTACCGTGTTTGATTTCAAGCAAAATCGAATCGCCGATCAATATATGGCATGTATATCGTTGCTTGGATGACCATGTTCTATTTTTCCAGACCGTAAAAAGTCAGTCTTTAGGTATACAGTCCTAACTTGACTAACTTGACTTATTTCAGTTAACTCGTTTCAATAAAAGCTTAGAAAAAGCCGTAGCTAGTATAGCGACGATGCAAGCTACCTAATTTCGATGCCGAAATATGACACCCACACGTGCTTTGCCTACATATCAAAGGTCCTTTGAACTGTGACGGGAGGGGTTTTTCCCATGCTCTTTCAATCATCAGATAAAATAGCATTTCGCAAAGTGCATCGCTCCTTAACCTATTTGGAGTTCGAAGGAAGAGCTTTGTCTATCGGGACAAGCAAGACCGTTTCGGGAATCTTCTGGTGGAGGTAAATGATTTGTGTTTTAATTTTGCTTACCGTTAAATTAAGTGTGCGACAGAAGAGCGCGGTGGCTTGGCAAGCGTATCAGCATTCCAGGTTTCTTCCGTTGTCACTTGTTTGGATGGTGACTAACCAAAAACGGCAAATAAATTTTGCTTGTGTGGGAATTATCCCTCAGTTACTGTGAAAAAAGTTCTCGTCCAAGGGAGCTAAACGTAAAAAAGGATATTTCGAACTTTCAAAGCCCGCACGATTGTCTAAAAGTGTAGCTTGACAAGAAAATGTGGCCTTTGAGTCGACATGAAGCATTTTGACTGGTTTTGCATACAAAGCATATTTAACATAAAGGTTTCACTAAGAAATAAAATATTTCAGCTGCCACGCTCGAAAAGTGGATGATTTTGAGGAAACAACATTTATTGTCTTGTAGACGTTTATGCCGTATCATATAATAAGTATATTAGATTATTTGACTGAAAAATGTAAATTATCAGCGTCAAAACTATTAACATACAGCGCGAGTGGCAGAAGCGCCGAAGCTAAGCGCCAAGTTATTTCCAGTACTTATACAGAGTCACAACAGTTCTAACTATCCTTTACACTTTTCAGGTTGTTCCATTGTAAAGCCATGTCCACTGTAATCATCCCTGTGATCACGAATGCCTTAATGATTTTATGGGTATTTTCTCTCTGCACGGTACGCTACGTTTGATAATAATTAATAACGTTTACCTCTTTAAACAGTTTCTCCTATATCCCGCTCAGAGTTTGAAAAGCACGTTGGAAATCTCCGGCGAACAGAGCATCAAGGTTTCCGGCCGAGCACCACTTATTAAACTATAGAATTGATCGTTTTTATCGTCTGACGATAAATTTCGCCCCTATCTGATACCACCCAACAGTCTGCTTAACAAACAAGCCAAATTTATTTTGCACATGTAGGTAACAAACATCTATGTTGATCTTTCAGATGCTTTTGCTGACTTTTCTGTTCTCCTCAGAGGTGAGGGTATTGGCAGAACGTTTTGTTTAGAATAGAATCTGTTTGTAAATTACATTCAGGTGTGTCCTGATGCTTTAATTTTCTCTATGTTAATTTTCTGTCTTGCATTGGTAAAATGGAGGTGCTTGGTGCAAATGATGACCCCCAGAATAGGGACATAAGAAAGTCACTCAGTGACTTGGTTAGAAAACCTGGGTTGTTTGTCTGATGTGTCAAGTCACTTCTCACAACAAGTTGCAAGGGATTCAGTTGATCATCTNCTCTTATGGGTATTTTCTCTCTGCACGGTACGCTAGTTTGATAATAACTAATACCGTTTACCTCTTTAAATATTTTTCTCGTATATTCCGCTCAGAGTTTGAAACGTACGTTGGAAATCTCCGGCGCACAGAGCATCAAGTTTCCGGCCGAGCACCACTTACTAAACTATAGAATTGATCGTTTTTATCGTCTGGTAACAAATTCTTTAATTTGGCAGAGCATAAACGGTTTTGAATATGTAGAGTAATTAAATAAAATTACAAAGTTATGAAACTGTCGTTTTATTCAACTACAGTGTACCCCATTGAAATTTCTCGACAGGTTTGGCTTTATTATTTCAGCAGAAAGAATGCACCTTAAGGCGCAGTTATATATAAGGAGAGTGACTAATGCTCCGGTTATTTAAATCTCCTCATTCCTGAAATACTGTACTTTCACTTTCGATTTCCGCATAAAGAGTATAGTTAACCTGAAATATCAGTCATTTCCCCGCCTTCAACGTAATCCCCGATAGGTACAGTCTTCGAACATCTACACAGCCATTAGTGCCGTTGTGCCGATACTGTTACCCGTCGTTCCTGTTCACTTTTTTTTTTTTTAAATTCTTTTCTTTTGGTTTTCATTATTATTTATATTGGGGTTCTAGGGAATGGGTTACTAATTTTTTAGGGGGATGGTTAGGTGGTGGGTTTACCTAGTAAGGGAGCTAGAGTTCTTTTGTATGCCCACCTGCCTCATGGCGAATCTTTAAATAAAAATAAAATAAAAGTAAAGAAATAAATAGTTATCTGCTTTGCGTGACGATTCAAATAACGCGGTTGCGTGGGAGACTACTAAAACAAAGACACTTTGATATTTGAATTGTTTCACGAGTGAAAGGAAAAATCCCTCTATATATCAGCTATGTACAGAATGTAAATATAATTATCCTTTTCCCCAAATGACCGGATTAACTTTCAGTTTCGCCAAGAAAAGCCCGGGGAAATTACCGACAACTTTTATATCAAAAGCATCATAGGTTTCAAAAGAGTATTCGTAGATGTTAACTGTTATGTTGGTTCTGTCATACGGCCATTTTGATTGCGCGTACCTAAACGATTTTAGCATAGGACATGAATGTTCAAGCATAACATTTGAATATTATTAACATTTTTATACTATGCAATTAAGATGGGTTGGAACGACCAAGTTGAAATATTAAAATTAAATTAAAAATAGTTTATTGATTTTCAACTTGCAGTACAAACTTAACAAAATATGTAGAAAATGTATCAAACTAAGTTCTGAGTAGCGTGTCATTATTTGTGACCAAGAGACCATAATCTCTTGTTTCTGATTCAATATAACCATTCTCAGTTTTCAGCGCAAGAAACATATCGCCGGAAATGCAGATGGAACCAGATTACTATAGGGAGACCCGACAAGGCAGTTGAATGCTTGGACTGTCCCAAATGTCCCGAGGGTCTGGGCTTGGTCCCGCAGTGCGGATCACTTGCTGGGGCTAATGCTCCTGTAAAGTGCGTACAGTGCAAGCCAGGTGAAACTTACTCGGATAAGCACGACATCTCATCATGTAAGCCATGCACTATCTGTGACCCTAACGAAGAGATGATTAGTCCTTGCACTGAGACAAAGAACGCGGTTTGCGGAAAGTGCAATGCTGGGTACGTATATCTCTGTACTAACGAATGGACACTTTGTTAACTTCGGACACTTTCCATCTGGGAGCACCACCTCCCAAGGGGACGCCTGGAAAAGGCCCGACCACATACATGTCATAGCGAATAGTTAGTTTTAGAATTGTTAGTTCATAGTTAGTTTTTAACTCTTCGTCAGCAGGACGCCGTTGATAACATTACTTTGTACTGAAGGGTTATCCGAAATAAATATTCGATGATGATGATGATGACGATTATTGTTAACACATTGGTCGTATAGAACATTGGGTTCGCGGGTAAACTATTCTGAAAACAATCAAAAAGGTGTCTGTGTTCCCAGCGCCTTTATTCGATCCTAATGATCAGCGGTAGGGCTTATCACCTATATCCCTCCCGTTATTTTTCTCGGTCAGTCCCAGAGTCTTGAGTGTCTTGAGTCCAGGCCCCAGGCCCCATCTACAATAGTCTCCCTCGCAGCCGTTATTAGGGTCGTCACGCAACATGAGGAGAAGCGTTGCGTGACGACCCTAATAATGGCTGCGAAGGAGACTATGGTAGGTGGGGCCTGGGGTATGACTCTGAAGATTCTGGACACGAATTTGAGCCTTAACTTAAAACCGCCATTTGAGTAAAGATTTATCTGACATCTGCAGTTCAACTTTTTTCCACGACAGTTACTATCGAGCAGTAACCGGCGATTGTCATCCGTGTTCCTGGTGCTGTACCGACAGCAAAGACTGGAAGGAAGATATAGAAAAACAGTGCAGGGAACAGTCTAATCTTCCAGCCAAGCAGATATGTCGCTACGATGTCAACACTATCAAATGCGCACCTGTGGCAAGCACATCTCCGGCCTATGCTTCATTGGTAGCCACCCCAAAACCTGGCGGTTTGCAAGCCATGCAGGATACCGAGCCAGCCAAAGCCAACAGTGGATTGTGGCTGATTTTAGTCGCTGCTTCTGCTGCTTTTGCTTTGTGTGTCTTAATTGTCACACTGTTCATTTGCTATCGCAAAAGGGAGCAAACGCTGTCCCAGTTGCTGTGTTGTACGCGAGGCTGCGAGACTACGCTTCGTAAGTATCCGAATCTCTCTCTAGTCTACGAAATAGAAAAGTCTTCTGGTATTCCATGTAGAATCAATGTAGTCAGATAGATACGGAAAAGGACTGACAGACCAAACTGAACTGATCAACACTTGACATAGATAAAAAGTTGAGCCAAGAGAAACAGGGGCCCGTTTCTCGAAAGCCCCGGAAACTTTTCGGGCCCGGAAAGCCATAGCAAAATCTTGAACCTTACGATTACAGAGCTGTTTTATTCACATATTTTTAATATGAACAGAGGTTCACTTCATACAAGAAGTTTCAGGCGTATACACTTCTCCGTTTTAGATACAGATGAACCAAAAATGGCTTTACGGGTCCGAAAAGTTTCCGGGGCTTTCGAGAAACCGCCCCAGAAACGATAACACGGAAATAAGATTTACGTTTTCCTCCAAAATTTTTCCTCGAGAAAAAGCTTCATTTCTTTCATCACTATCATTCACGGCCTGGGGCCCCTTATTCGAAAGTCCCGGCAACTCAACGCACCCGAAGCCACATATTTTAAGATCTGAGTCTAAGGAACGGTAGTGCGGGTTTAAGGTAAAAAAAAAACCCAGTCCATTCTGTTTCGCTTTCTTACACTTTTATTGTCTGAATTTTAAACTTAGTATACCAGTGATATCTCGATCTTGAATGTAAACACGGCAATCAGAAAACAGCCCTTTCGGACCGGTAACTACTGGGACGTTAGAGAAAGGGATCCCTGGACCGGTACAGTCTAGATAAAAAAAAAAATTGCATTAATCCCTACTTTATTTTTCAACGCAGCCATGTCAAGTTAAGGTTTTATTCAGCGCAACGTTGCCTTGTGTCGCACTGATCAAAGTTGGCTAATGACGCTGAACATATTGACGGTTTGTTACACGACCTCACAATTTCATCCGAAATCTGAGCCGTGTTTTACATTATGCGATCACCGTGGTCTTATTGCCCTTATTTGATGTCTAAAACTCTACAATTTAAGTTTAATCAGATATCACTTTTGCTTTTCTGATCTTTTGCAGCAATACAAGCAGTTGGTAATCCTGAACCACGGTCACATTTAGTTGTAATAGGCGGCAAGCAAACCAGTGGGCAGAGGGTGTAAAAACCGAGCTACTGACTGGAAAGACAAAGAAGGCTCCACGAGTCCATAGTACCTTTTGTTTGGTTGATATTTCGTTACATCATGTAAAGTGTTGCAATACATACTACGAACATAAAACGGACTCTCTGCGAGTTCTGACTCGAAGGATACTGTTGTATTGACTGATAGAACATGTGATACGCTGAATGGACAAAACGTCACCTGCACTGTTTTAAAGTTTCGTTATAAAAAGGAATTGACTGTCTTCAAGCCCTCTCTGCCAGGCCTCTCTTAATCATACTCTTGCTCCTATTACTTCAAAATAATCGTCACTACGAGTAATTTCCCTGTGTATTTCTGAATTCCGGCCTTGTGAGAGCTCGATCTTTGTGTCACCTGATAAGATTCATGCGATCAAGCCGTTAGCGAGAGAATTCATATTTTCAACTGTTAGGAAGAACCATGCAACATTTCCTCATCAATCGACACAGAGAGACAGAGAGAGAGAGAGTCAGGTAAAAGACATATGATGATTTGCGTCTTCTCGGTGTGCGAGGCCTTCCGACGATCAATTTTCCTTGCCGACCGGGACAAGTGGTAGTTCGGTCAACAGTCGGAGTAGTGATTTACGTTCCGGTTCGTTAATTTGGACACAATTTACGATCACAGTCAGGTGCCGGCGTTATCATAAGTCTTGGCCTAGGACCAATAGTTCTACAAATGCTGACTGTCCCAGTCAACAAGTTTATATCAGTTAGTTATAGCCTGGTACGTTATTTCCGTAATCTGCTATCAAAGTGTAGATGGTTTTCATCCTGACATGATCAAAGTAGGTGTAGATGTGGACACACTTGACTGTTTTTTTTACTGGTGTCTGTAAGGGTTAACCCGCGTACACTAGTATTGAGAGCTAACCTGACTGTAGAATCAGTGATACTTAGCCTAATCTGAGCCGAGCACTACTGATTTAGGCTAACCGTTGTGCTATTTCCTCATTTGGTGTAAGGTAAACACAGGAAAAATGACTAAAAGTAACTGTTGGAGAGATTCCGTGTTTCTTTAAATGCACGTCTCTCTTGGGCCAGTATTGCGAGAATAGTGGGACAAAATCATATATTTCTCCCGTGAAAACATTTTTCCTGATGTTTAACAGTTTGCGTAATGAGGCGTGCGCAATCACAGTTAGTTACCACGATGCAACGCAGACGATCTCTGTCCGTCTGTACGATCCGCACAAATCGCACGGATCGTCTAACCGTTTCACCGAGGTTAAGACTCAAGAATATCACTTGCAATCAATGAGATGCATTTTTCGGTCTGTACATTGACCGGAAACAGTTAACAGTCTGTCAAACTGTACAGATGATAAAGTTGTTTTTTTTCTCCAGCTGTATCAGTTTGCCGACACTGGACAACCCTCAACTAAGGCCCAGTTCACACCAGCGAAGTCATGTCATGTTTGCAGTGTGAACATCTTGACATAATGGCAACATAACAGCATGAACATGACGACATCAGGGAAAAAAACCCTGATATTTGCCGGCGTTATGTCTTTATGTCGATGTTCATTCACATTACCGACATAAGCGATTATGTCGTTATGTCATTATGTCGCTGGTATGAACCAGACCTAACGGGATAGAAAACAATCGGACATAGAGTGTAATAAATCATCCTTTTATTTTTAAGCTTTATTTTCTGAAATATAATTTTGATATTACTAATCAATATGTTCTCAGAAAAAGATATATTTTTAAGCTCCCATTAAAGTTGTATTCTAGTTTTTTAGTGAAGTTCCCTTTTAAAACACTGTCTAGCTAGTATTTTGTATTTCCCACCCTTTCAAAAAGTTACTCTTTTTGTAATACTAAAACAAGCACAGCCAGTTCATTCTAACGGCCTGGCTATGACAAACCATCTCCGAACTCAAAAATATCTTTACATCTTTAAAGAAATCTACAATAACTCCCTACGGAATAGCTACAAAGGCAGACAATAAGGGATTATAAAACTAGGATTTCATTCAACGTTAATTTGCTTTTAGCCATGTGAGGTACAATCCGAGTTAGTTCAGGGCAGAGTATATTATTTTTCAGAATGAAAATAAATTTAGCAACCAATATCTCGCGCGGTTTCATTTCAACGTATGTGTAAATTTCCATACCCTGTTTCAGTACAACACTGGTTAAGAGCATGACCTAACTATATAACTTATATTTCAAAATTTGTATCGAAACTTGCAAATAAATAGATAAGTACGAGAAGCCCGTTAAACTCTAAACATCTTCTTCAGAGACCAACACTCCAGCCTCTCCATGGCTTTTGATACAGTTCTTTATCGTGTCAATGGCGATTTTCATTCTTCTGTCGATGGCTCTAAAGTGAGGATCTGATAAGACCGGCGCCACAGGATCTTCTTCCGTTGCTTTCCGTAGAAGTTCACTTAAGGGCGTATTCTTTGTAGCTATAGACTGAAAGCGATTCCAAGTTGACCGCCGAATTCTGAAAGAAACACAAACGACATTTCAGTTCACTAACGGTCTATGGAATGTCGGAGATTAGAGACTGCAAGCAAGCAAGTAAGCAAGCTACTTCAGAATTTTCGGGTCATGTCCAACAGTGCAATGATAATTACTCGTAGTGTGAACAAGAAGCAGAATGCGCAAAATATCTTTTTCATTGCTTCGTCAAGCGACAGAAAGCGCGGGAAAAGGTGCACGACCCAAACAACGTTTAGTTTTGGCTTATACTCTGATTGGCTGAGAATAAAAAATCTTCGAAACTTGTTCTGATTGGTTGGAGCCGCACGTGGTACGGATGGCTTCCTGAAGCACAGCCAACGCTAGTCATTTTTCAAAGTCATCGGAAAAGTAAAGCGCTTCAGTGAAATAAGTACTTCTCACTTTCAACGTCAGTGAAATTTTCTTGCTTATTACTGCGCACTTTAAAACGCTTCTCTGCATTAAACTGATAAAAAGTTTCCTTCTCCTTTTTCCATAATAATGAGATGAACAGGTTATCGCTCTGTTGTCTCAAATCGAAGAAATTCGGTCAGATGTTGGCGCGGATACTTCACTGAAGTTTTTTCTGACTTAAAGATGTTCGCATGGATGTTAACCACAAACTGTATTCTTCAGAAGACTTCGCGTGGTAATATGTACCTTTTCATTCAAAATTGGCAAAACCAGAAAATCAAATTTAGAGGAGGAGTAAGAAAGGTTTAGATTACTGTTGACTCACTTGCAGCATTGATAAATAGGAGCCAGGATGGACATTTCATCGTGATAAGGATCGCCAAAACTACAGCAAAAATATAACACTTCGTTATTACATTGTACTTGTAGTCCTCTATTAAAAGGATATCTAAAAAGGCAGGCAGGCAGGCAGACAGACAGACAGACAGACAGACAGACAGACAGACAGACAGACAAACAGACACAAACTTTATTTAAGCTCGATTAAAATTAAAGCTCAGAAGCTTGTGGGGTCATGCAAAAAATAATAAAATAAAAATTAAATTAAACTTCGCTCAAAGTACATACATGATAGATATAGCTCATCTAAAATTCGTCGAAAAAATTAAACTGAGAGGGATTAATTAACTAATTATTCTATTTATTAAATCCATTTTGAAATCACTGGTTATCCTTGCAATCTGATTGGCTCTCAATGGTGCGATTTATTCACGAATCGCACTATTTTTTGCTCTA